GTAATTCCGGCTACTCGGAAGGCTGAGGCGGAAGGATCGTCGGCGCCCAGCAGGTCGAGGCTGCGGTGGCCAGGAGCGCCCACTGCACTCCAGTCTGGGCACAGAGTGAGACTCCAACTCAAAAAAAAAAAAAAAAAAAAGAAAACACAATTACCATTTGAATAACTTTATCAAGAGTCCCATCAATATTTTCAATGTTGAAACGACCAGGTGGTGCAGATGCCATGTCTTTTCTTAGCTTTTCATTTGCCTGTGCCATCTGTGGGAGGAAGGTCTGTACTTGGTCCAATACTGTGGAGAGAAATTATATTATATCAACATTTAGACTAGTAAATTTTAAAATCGAGTACTTCCTATAAAACTCCCCTTTTGAATTGAATAGCAGTAGTAATAACCATTATAAGAAATCTTTCAAGTTCCTTCTTTTTAAAACCCTCCACTTTAGGCCGGGCGTGGTGGCTCACACCTATAATCGCAGCACTTTGGGAGGCTAAATTGAGAAGATTACCTGAGCCCGCGGGTTTGAGACCAGCCTGAGCAATTTGGTGAAACCTCATCTCTACAATAAAAAAAAAAAAAAAAAAAACCCAAAAAACTCTCCATCTTCTTTTGAATAAATTAATGAGACTACACAACTCAGCAGTTAAATGTTTTAATGTTTCTCATATATCCCCAGAACTGAAAACTCCTAGAAAGATGGCATTCAACACATCGTAACTGAGTAGGAGGCAGTATGACTTAACAGTCAAAAGCACCAGGTTCTGAGGCTTTACAGTAAGACTGACTAGGTTATTTACAGAATCCCAGTTTCACCTGTTACTATTTGCATTACTTCGGGCAAGCTAATTTAGTAGTGTTTGTTTCTGCCTGCCCAACACCTGTTTTTCTTCTCCTGATAATAACCCTGACTTTCCTTTGAGCTTGGGTCAGTCTTGTCCCTCATCCCAAACACACCTACATATTCCACAACCTTGGTCACCGTCAACTGTTTCAGTGGTATACACAGTGATACACTGCTCTAGTTGAACCAAAAGGCAATCACTGAGGGCCTTTTGTTTGAACTGTTGAGAGAGAAATCTTCCTGAGTGAAAGACTGTGCGAGCTGAATGCAAGCTTGAAGCTGCTGATACACCAGCCAACTTGCCATACCTGGGGAAAAAGCGTGCTCTAGATTAGGCCAACACCCAGGAAAGTAGAGCTAAGAGAAACAGGCAGATGTCTGATGACACTGAGCACCTGAATCCAGATGTACCAGAAATCATTGACCCTGGGGTTTTTTCCCCAATACAATGAGTCAACAAAATTTTTTTCTTTTCCTTCTTGCTTAAGGCAATCTGAGCTGGATTTTAGTCAGCTGCAACCAAGAGTCCTAATTAATACATTTAATTTTACCACTCTAAACCTCAGCTTACTAATCTATAAAAAAGGGGTGATGATTACCAGTCACTGTGCTAAGTACAGAGGAGTGAACAAACAAGGGATATTTAATTTCTTTCTCTCAAAAGAGGCCCAGCAAATAACTATGCACATAACTGACTCTCAAAACTTGTTAAGGTATTGCTATGGTATATAACACTTGACTAAAACATCCAGAGTATGGAAGAAGAAAAAAAAGTAGTGGTAAAATAGTTCAAGTAAATTAACTGGTTTTTTTTTTTTTGAGTCGGAGTCTCACTCTGTTGCCCAGACTGGAGTGCAGTGGCCACTCCCGGCCACTGCAGCCTCGACCTGCTGGGCTCCGGCAATCCTTCCGCCTCAGCCTTCCAAGTAGTCAGAATTATAGACCTGGCTAATTTTTGATTTATTGTAGAGATGAGGTCTCACCAAGTTGCCCAGGTGGGTCACGAACCCGTAAATTAACTTTAATTGTAAAATAAAGCTGCTAGAAGGACTCCATGGAAGCACGTACACATACAAAGCCCCACACAATGTCTAGCACACACTAACTAGTCAATGTTGGCTCTTATCTCCCTCAGATATATAGTAACATAAATTACTGATAAAAATAAAGGTATTTCTACATCTGAAGATTTAAATCTATTGTCACAGATAGAGGACCTGGTTCTGCTTTTGTTTTCAACTAACAAATCAAGTAGAGCAAAATAAGTACCAATATGTGAGGCCTGAACCATGACTCTGAGAAGCCAAATATTCCTGTGGTACCCTAGGAGAGCAAAGCTAAACCCTGAGGCTAGTCCAGCTGTAGTTCTTCTAAATTAAATAAACAAAATTCATCATACAACAGTATAAAATTCAAAATGTCCAGCATCCAATAAAAAATTACCAAACTTACAAATAAACAAAAACTATCCTCATCAATGGGCCGGGCTCGGTGGCTCAGCCTGTAATCCCGCACTTTGGGAGGCTGAGGTGAGTGGATTGCCTGATCCTGCGGGTTTGAGATCCGCTTGGGCAACTTGGCAAGACCTCATCTCTACAATAAATCAAAAAATCAGCTGGGCGTGGCAGCGCGCGCCTACAGCTCCAGCTACTTGGAAGGCTGAGGCGGAAGGATCGCTGGAGCCCAGCAGGTCGAGGCTGCGGTGGCCAGGAGTGGCCACTGCACTCCAGTCTAGGCGACAGAGTGAGACTCCAACTCAAAAAAAAAAAAAAGAGTCAGAATGGAAATAGATCCAGAAATGACACAGATGATAGAATCAGCAATAAGAATGTTAAGCCAGGCTCAGTGGCTCAACCTATAATCCCAGCATTTTGGGAGGCCAAGGCAAGTGGACTGCCTGGGCCCACAGGTTCAAGACCAGCCTGAGCAACTTGGTGAGCCCTCATCTCTATAATACATTTAAAAAAAAAACATTAAGCCGGGCTCAGTGGCTCAGCCTGTAATCCCAGAACTTTGGGAGGCCGAGGCGCGTGGATTGCCTCAGCCTGCGGGTTTGAAACCCATCTGGACAACTTGGCGAGACCTCGTCTCTACAATAAATCAAAAACTAGCCGGGCGTGGTAGCGCACACCTGTAGTTCCTGCTACTTGGAAGGCTGAGGTGGAAGGATCGCTGGAGCCCAGCATGTTGAGGCTGCAGTAACCGGGAGCGTACCACTGCACTCCAGTCTGGGCAACAGAGTGAGACTACAACTCAAAAAAATAAAATAAAATAAATATAAATAAATTTTAAAAATTAGCTGAGTATGGTAACGCCCGCCTATAGTTCTGGTTACTTGGAAGGCTAAGGCAGAAGGATCACCGGAGCCCAGCAGGTTGACGCTGGGGTGGCCATGAGTGTGCCACTGCACTCCAGTCTGGGTGACAGAGTGAGACTCTGACTCAAAAAAAAGGAATGCTAAAACAGCTATTATAAATACACTCCATATGATCAACAAAGCAAAGCAAAGCACAAATTTGATAAGAAAAAAATGAAAAATATAAAAAGTATCAAACTTCTAGAGATGGAAACTGTATCTACCTTGAAAAATACATTTGATGGGATTAAAAGTAGATCAGACAATATAGAAGATCAGCAAACTTGAAGACACTGCAATAGAAATTATCCAACAGTATTACAAAAAGTAAGACCAAAACAAACAAACAAACATCAGTGAGCTGTAGGACAGCTTCAGTTGGAAAAATTAAGTGCAACTGGAGTTTTCTCAGGAAATGTGAAAGAGGAGGAGGAACACAAATAATCTTTGAAGAAAAAAATGACGGAAAATTCTCAAATTTGATAAGAATTATAAACCCACAGATCCACTAAATTCAACAAACACCAAAGTCACAAAGAAAGCTAAAGGGCACATCACCATCAAATTAGTAAAAAGCAGTGAAGAAGAAGAAAATCTTAAAGGCAGCCAGAGAAATACCATATTCACAACACAGAACAACACACTGGCATCATAAACAATGCCAGGAAAATAAAGTACAGCAAAATCTCTAAAGTACTGGGTGGGGAAAAATGCAAAGAAATCTGTATCCATTAAAAACATCTTTCAAAAACTGAAAGCAAAATCAAGACTTTCATGGACACATAAAGGCTGGTAAATTCATCACCAGCAGAATTGCACTAAGGAATGGTGTTTACAATAAGAAATCTGATTTCCCTTTTTTTTTTGAGTTGGAGTCTCATTCTTGCCCAGGTTGGAGTGCAGTGTCACACTCATGGTTATGCCAGCATTGATCTGCTGGGTTCCAGTGATCCTTCCGCCTCAGTCTTCCAAGTAGCCAGAACTATAGGCGTGCACTACCACGCCCAGTCAATATTTAAAAATTTATTGTAGAGACAAGGTCTCACCAAGTTGCCTAGGCTCTTGAACCCGTGGACTCACCTCAGCCTCCCAAAGTGCTGGGATTACAGGCTGAATCACTGAGTCCAGCCAAAAACCTGATTTTTTAATGAGCTGAAGTTTTTTTTGTTTTTGTTTTTAGATTGGGAAATATAGGTTATTTAGAAAGTAAATGAGAGAGAAAGAGGAGATTCACCTTTCCAAGGTAGGAGACAGAGCCAAAGCTAGGAAACATGGCAGCCACAGCTCAAAGAGCCGCATCCAGAGTTCAACAAAGCAATGACAAATAGTTGCTTGCGGTCAAATGCTTTTAAACCTTCCCCTTGAAGCCGGGCTTGGTGGCTCAGCCTGTAATTCTGCGCCTTTGGGAGGCTGAGGTGAGTGGATTGCCTGAGCCTGCGGGTTTGAGACCCGCCTGGGTAACTTGGTGAGACCTCATCTCTACAATAAATCAAAAATTAGCCGGGCGTGGTAGAGCGCGCCTGCCGTTCCAGCTACTTGGAAGGCTGAGGCGGAAGGATCACCAGAGCCCAGCAGGTCAAGGTTACAGTGGCCGGGAGCGGCCACTGCACTCCAGTCTGGGCGACAGAGTGAGACTCCAACTCAAAAAACTAAAAACATAAACCTTCCCCTTGAGAGGGCAGGTTGTTAAGGTGACTGGGTGGTGGCCTGTTCCATGTCATCACAAGGGGGACAGGTGGGCACAGGTACTGATGTTAACTAATGGACAGCAGACAGATGAGTGGGCTAGTCACTTGACTGCGGCCATGTTGATGGGGTCCGTGCCACAAAGGTCACAAGAGTTAATTAGGTTAAATTGTTCACAAAACAAGCTGGAGAGGGAGCTGTAAGACAATTATCAGTTGAGCTGAAGATTTTAACATACACTTCACCAAACACATACAAACAGTGACACATGAGATGTTTAGCATTATTAGTCATTAGAGAAAAACAAATTAAAATCATAATGTGACAATACCACAGACACACTAGAATAGCTAAAATTAAAAAGACAGAGCATACCACACGGTGGTGAGAATGTGAAGCAACTACACTCTCCAAGCCATACAAACGGTATATCCACTTGGAAAATAGTTTGGAAATTTCTTCTTCATATTAAAAAAAAACAACAAAAAAATCCACCAAACCTACACCTTCCATAAACCCAGCAATTCTATTCCTAGGTATGTAAACCCTAGAATGAAAATCTACATCCACACAAATTTATATTTGAATGAAGAACCACCATGCAGTCATTCTAGCTGCTGTAGATTTAGTACATGCTATGGTTAAATTCCCCTTTCAGCCGGGTATGGTGGCTCAAGCCTGTAATCCCAGCACTTTGGGAGGCCAAGACGAGAGGACTGCTTGAGCTCATGGGTTCGAGCCCAGCTTGAGCAACTTGGTGAGACCTCGTCTCTACAATAAATCAAGAAAAATTAGCTGGGCGTGGTAGCACACACCTATAGTTCCAGCTACTGGGAAGGTTGAGGTGGAAGGATCGCCTGAGCCCAGGAGGTGGAGGCTGTGGTGACCTTGAGTGTGTCCTTGAGTACTCCAGCCTGGATGATAGTGAGGCTCCAACTAAAAAAAAAAAAAAATTCCTCTTTCAGAGTACTAATGATTTCTTACCTTATTGGTGTGATGATTATCTTCATGCTTTTTATTGGATACTTGTCTTCTTTTTTTGGCATTAAGAATGAATTACACAGATGTTGAGTATTACATGAATGCCATATAAACAAAGTCTGAGCATGGAACCTACTTATGAATGTGCAGTACAGTAACATCATAGAATAATATATATATAATTTTCTCGCCCAGGCTGGAATGCAGTGGCATGCTCACAACCACTGCAGCCTCAACCTGCTGGGTTCAGGCGATCCTTCCACCTCAGCCTTCCAAGTAGCTAGAACTACAGGCACATGCTACCATGCCTGGCTAATTTTCTTACTTATTGTAGAGATGAGGTCTCACCAAGTAGCCCAGGCTGGTTTAGAACCCCTAGACTCAGTTAATCCTCTCCCCTCAGCCTCCCAAAGTGCGGGATGACAGGTTTGAGTCACAACACCCAGCCTCAGAGAATGTTGAGTATTACATGAATTATTAAAGGAAACTGGCCTTGTTATGTTGTGCTGTAAGTAACATTTATCATTTAAATAATTGTTTACAATTCAGTGGGATGTGGAAGTGTTTTTCCATACATGTATATTAAGTTTGGGGGTTAGCAACCTCTAAAATAATTTCTCATTGAGATTAACAATTGTTTTTGACCTCCAAAAATTTATCCCACAAGCAATTTTCTTTTTCTTTTTTTTTTTTTTGAGTTGGAGTCTCACTGTTGCCCAGGCTGGAGGGCAGTGGCACGCTCCTGGCCACTGCAGCCTCCACCTGCTGGGCTCAGGCAATCCTTCTGCCTCAGCCTTCCAAGTAGCTGGAACTACAGGCACGCACCACCATGCCCGACTATCACAAGCAAATTTTACAAGTTACCCTTTGAAGGCAGGAGGATAATGTAAGAAATTCTATCCTTGTGCACTGACATTACAATGTAAAAATCCCAAGTAAAACGTGCTCCCCTGGACTCTGGTTTGATACCTAACCATGAAGTCAGAGATTATTCCACCAAAGTAACAGATTAAGCAGGAGTTAGCATTAGAAAGATTACAGAGGTGTACTTACAGGGACTCCTCTCTATCCGAACTGTTTGAAGAGTGGAGGTCTTTCTGGAATTAGGATGGGAGTTGATGAGCAACCTGTCCCATATACCTGAAAACACACAATTTAATTTACTCCAGTATAAAAAACAGGGCCCAATAGCAAACCTCCTGTGTCTAATCATAGGTTTTTATTGTTCACAGTCCAAGACGTTGGTTTGTTTTTTTTTTTTTTTTGAGTCGGAATCTCACTCCCTCGCCCAGATTGGAGTGCAGTGGCACACACACGGCCACGGCAGCCTCGACCTGCTGGGTTCCTGTGATCCTTCCACCTCAGCCTTCCAAGTAGCTAGAACTACAGGTGCACGCTACCACACCCAGCTAATTTTTGATTTATTGTAGAGATGAGGTCTCACCAAGTTGCCCGGGCAGGTCTCGAACCCACGGGCTCAGGCAATCCACTCACCTCGACCTCCCAAAGCGCTGGGATTACAGGCTGAGCCACCGAGCCCGGCCCAAGA